CCTGACAACCTCGAATCCCATTTCTGTTTGCAGAAAGGGTTTATTCAAGCACATAATGGGATCCCAGCAGAAAGCCTTTTAGAACAAGGGGCTATGGTAAACTTCACCACATGAACTCCGTTTCCAGGGCTATTAAGCTTTTAATTGGAAAATAGCAGAGGAAATTTCAAGGTGACTATAACGTGTTAGCAGTTAGTACGGAGAAGAAAAGCCCAAGTGGGAATGAATGTAGAAAGCATATGGTCCGAATCACATTTAGGAGGAGCTGCCGGCTTCTACTAAGTCTCGGCAGCTTATACACTTATGGGAAAAATCATCAAAGACATTGGAAAGGGAGGAGGGGAGGATTACAAGTCAATGTAACCTCACTAGACTTGATCCACTCGCGTTTCGCTCTGGATGGGGTGTGCGCGTGTGTGCTTTCAACCCACAAGTAACTGGGTAGAACTGTGGCAGGTATTAATAGTGAAAATCTGAAAGATAATGTGTGTATATGGTTCTCTTTCTCTTGGAGCGCACACAATCCTGTGGTGTGTATCTAAAAGCTCGCGGAACACATGTGTCTTTGCTGGGAAATTGAACATGTTCTATGTTCTGACTCCAGATCTGGGAGTCCTGGTAGCTGCTCCACATCTCAAGAAACAATCAAAAGGACAGTTTCATATTGTACATCAGGAAATTTTCTGCTTTGCTGGCTTCTTATGGAGGGGGAGGTCAGGGTTCCTATTTTGCCGTTTTAATCGCGACCACGGTGACGCTGGAAGTCGGGGGCGTGCAGAAAGCCCTTTGAATGCAGGAAAAGGAGCCCTCTCTCTCTAAGTATGAACTTCTCAGCTTTCACGCTGTCCGTGCCTCTAGGCATCGCTCTTTGGCCAGCTTCAAATTGAAAGAAGGGGAACAAATGTCTAACGAAGCTATGGGACAACCAGCAATCGATTTGAGGTGACAATAATGCCCTTGTTCTTCCTCAGTTAATTGGGGACACTCGTGCGCACCGCCCCCCCCGCCCCAATGGCATCCCCGAAGCCGCCCTCTGAGCCGCGGGACAGAGGCCGCATGCGGCCGGGGGTGGGGTGGAAAGGGGTCAGGGGGACGACTGAACTTGCGTTTGGCCTATCCCTGGGACGACGCTCAACAGAAAGGTCCTAGGCGGTCCTGTCCTCACACCATTTTGGCAGTGGGAGACCAGAGGCTCTCCAGGGGCCTAGCCTTTTGAAGCAAACGGGGGCGAAGAACGGCCTGCAACCCCGCGGGCTCTGTGTAGCCTCAGTAGGTGCTGCTGCTGGGTCCTTCAAGTTCTCGAACTTTCGAAGCTAGGAGCGACTCACGCCTAAGAACGAGCGCTCCCACAGCTGCAGATTTTTCAGACCCAGCCGGGTCACAGGCCCCGCCCGCCCCCACCATTTTTTTTAGTGTGTGTGTGTGTGTAGCGAGGGGGATTCCTCCTGCATCGCTTTCTCAGAGGGGCTCACTGAGCGGCGATCTAAACCCCGCGCTTTCGAAGGAAGGGACCGGAAAAGCGCTTCCTAGGAGCAATTCCCACTGGGCCGGGATCCAGGGCCGCTTCCCCTGGAGATCCCGGGCGCAGCCGCTCACTCCCGGCTCTGGCCTCGGCGCCCGAGCAGCGCCCGCGGCCTCGGCCTTTCGGCCGCGCCGCTTATTCCCAACGGCCTGGGAGTTGGGGTTTGCGGCCATGTGCGCAGGAACACGCTGGAGTCGCACACACCCGAGGCCGCAGGAGGGCGTGGGGTGGGCTCAGGGCGTCGGTCACGTCCCCACACCATTTTGGAAGAGAATCGCAGTAGTGGCTTGGAGACCCTGTCTGCCTGCAGTGCAAATGGAGAAAGAAACTTGTACCCTCCAATATAAAATTAGAGCAGCGCAGGCTTTAGAAGTTTTAAATTAATCTTTCCCCTCTGACTTTAAAACAAAAAAAGCCAAGGAAACCTTAGAGCAACATTCAACGGACATTTTCTTTTTCCCACTTTCTTTTTCCCGGAGTGTTCGCTCTCGGGGGGCTGGTGTAGTTCTTCCCTAAGACAAGCCCTTTTTCCAGAACTCTCTGCCGCCTCCTCCCTCTTCTGCAGTCCCGGAACAAAAGCCGGCTGCGGGGAAAGTGGGCGGATGTGCGGGATTTCAAGAAAGAAGTCCCTACTCGGGTCAAAGGGCCCGGGAATAAAGAGAGAAAACGGCTGGCACCGCCCTCATCCCAGAGAAAGTGGGTGCGAACTCCGTGAACTGAAGCCACGCCCGCTGGAAAATAACGCGGCAAGGCTGAGACGCTGTGCGGGGTCTCCAGAGTCGCCCCAACCCAAGGAAGGTAGACAGATTCAGATACTCTTAGCCCAAGACCAAGCCTCCTGGGCGGGGCGACTTCCGGAGTACTCGGGGCTCCGCCCACCCAGCCAGCGGCCCGCCCCCAGCCCTGCTCGCCCCGCCCAGAACCCCTCCCAGCCCTCTGGGCTGCAAGCTTTGAACTGTTGAAGTTTGCTAGTTTTGT